TGTTCTCCAGCACCTGGTGCAAGAGCTTTTGTGCACACAGCTCTCCACAGTCCTTTGTCAGTTTACTAGCTACTTATTGACTGGTTACCATCTCACATTTAAATAGCAGCTAATATGTGATCTGTATTGCAATTCCGTATTCAAGCATTTCCTGCACTTTATTCAGCATCATTTTACAACTATTTTTCCATCTTTATCTACTTATTTGTATAACACTCAAACTAATGAAATAAATACAGAATAAATAGATGCCAGATCAGTTTATTTTGAAGATTAGATAACATAAGAGCATATGCACAAACACCATCATCATTAAATTATTTATTCAACAAGTATTTATCAAGCTTACTGAGTGGCCTCCATTGTGCCAGGTGATGGGGATGTGAAGATGCATTCTCTACCTGCAGGAAGGCTGCAGTGTCACACAAGTTCAGATATTGTGGGGCTCCAGTATCAGAAGCAGACCCCGTCCCATGTAGTGGAAAACCTAGTAGCAGCAGTTCTAAATGGATTTTTTTCTCTAAAATGAATGCCAGGAGGTGGACAGATTGGAACTCCACAATGTCAGGGGTGACTTCTACTTTGTTCCTGTGATATGGGGTGTCGGCATCCCCAAATTATCTTCTGTGCAAGATTACTGCCTCAGTCTCATGTCCTCCTTCTATAGCGGGAAGGGAGGAGAAGGAGGAGAGGAGCAGGAACTCGGCCTATAAGATGTCTGTCCCAGATGTTGCTCAAACCACTTTCACTTACATCGCCTAGACCTAATCTTGGTCACATGGCAATGCCTAGCAGCAAGGGAAACTGGGAAATGCTGTTTTCATCCCCAGTGGCCTGGAAGAAGGAATAAATACCAGGGGAAGAACAATCTTTGTCCCAAGGACACTTGGGAAAACTTTTGCTCAAATTCAGAGCTGAAGGTAAGTGGGACTCTCAGAAGTAAATGTATAGATGCCCTTAAGAGTCTGCATGCCCACGGACTGGAAACTGGAGAAGCTATTCTTTCACCAGTCACTATTAATAATTGTTTGTGTGTTGACTTAGAAAGAAGTGGCTCAATTATGTTAGAGAAGGAGGAGCGGGCAGATGTTCACTGTAGATCCGGGCAGATGTTCACTGTAGATCTGTGGCTGAATGGGCCAGGAGTCTCTCAGAAAAGATGGAGGCTGGGAAAAGGGTTTGCAGCAAGATGTTAACCCTTTCTCAGAAATATTGGCTCAGGTGAAGACTAGCGACTGAGGTAGTTCAAGGGTAGCCTAGGGACATACTAAGTTACAGGTTCAGGGGTTAGCCAGCATCTTCCCAGGCCCAAAATAGTGATATTGCCAATTTCATTTGAATCTTAGAGAAAAAAATCGTACCTTGAATTTGCTAAATATTGAAAATATTGAAAAAGTATTTTATTTGTTTTTATTTTATGTGTTTGAGTATATTGCCTGCATGTATGCAAGTGCACCCATGTCATGCAGTAGCTGTGGAGGTCAGAAGAGGGCATTGGATTCCCTGGAACTGGAATTGCAGATGGTTGTTAGCTGACATGTGGGTGCTGGGATCAAACCCGGGTCCTCTGCAAGAGCAGCCAGTGCTCTTAACTGCTGAGCCATCACTCCAGCCCCAAGATTTCTAATTTTGTAAGAAATTATTGAAATCTGTCTTTGCCGATTTACTTAGTTTGTGACTTCATGCTAGGTATTAGAATCGTCAGTAGTATATGGTACAATGGACATTCTTGAGGTCACTTATAGGCCTGTGATAACACAATTCATCTGATTATATTTCTGTTTATCTCCATGAATAATCATGTCCTCACAGTCCCTACCTATCCAGTGAAGGATGATAGGCATCCTTTCCCATGCCAGGGAATCCAGATTTAATTATGAATTATGATAAAGTTAAAACCTCAACAACCTCCACCATATCTATTTTCTCTAATTAGGATGTGTTTTGTTACTAACTTGAACTCTGTGAATTGCCTGCTTTGATTAAAAACAACAATAAATAAAAAATCACACTGATGTTCTGGACAAAACATTACATTTGCCAATTTAAGCCACAGTTTTCTGTGTCCACGTCACAATCTGGTGGGTGGATTCATAGATTGGCATTGGCGCTTGCATTCTGTATTTGTTATTTTTCTCATTGCTGTGACGAATTACCTGACATAAGCAACTTAAGGAAGAGCTGGCTTTGGCCTACAATTTAAGAATGGTTACAGTGGATCCTGGTGAAGACATGGTGGCAGGAGCATGATGCAGCTGATCACACTATAACCACAACCAGAAGAGAGATGGACGCTGGTGCTCAGCTCACTTTCTCCTTTTTATTCTGTCCTGCATCACAACTTATTAATGGTGTCACCCATATTTGGGATGGGTCTTCCCTCCTTAGTTAAACCCCTCTGGAAATACCTTTATAGACAAAACCAGAGGTGTATTTCTATGGTGATTCTAAAACAAGTCAAGTTGACGTGAAGATTAACCATCACACACACTTGGGGGTTCATGGACTACCAGAATCTCTGTGCTGTGAGGAGATGGCACTTTTGCTGGAAAACTGGTAACCAGAGGGGCAAAACCAGGGGTATATCAGCATTCTTTGCTATCTTATTCATAGAAGTGATTGGGACTAGCAGGAGGATTGAAGGACACATGGTTTGATCACTGGCAGAGCATTTGAACTTGGGTTAGTATCACTCCCTCTTAAAATGCATTGAGATGCCCTCAGTGAAAGCAGAAGCACATTGAACAAGGTATTGGAAAACTTCCTGCACTGGCTCCTCATGGCCTGTGAGATGAGGGCTAAGCACCTGAACATGAGCTTGACCTTGATCTATACACGTCCAGTCTCCACCTTCATATCCACCTTCAATCCTAGGCTTCTTTCTTCCCCACTTTTATGTGTGCACGCACACGTGCATGCGCTCAGTGCCTTTCCTCCACACCTCAAACACTCGCTATCCTCTTTCTACCTCAAGTCCCTTTTCCACAGTTGACCCCACCCCAGGCTAGATCAGGAACCTTTCTCCAATGGCTTCCTGCAAAAGTGTCACACCTCCTCCTGTGACTCACTTGTTCTTGTGTATTATTTCTCTTGCTAGGCTCTACATTCGGTGCTGGATATACAGAGGACACCGATGTGAAACTGTTGAATGAATACATGAAAGTTTGTTCAAAGTAGAGATTAGAAAATTATTTAAGTAACTACAGAATTGTAAGATAGGGACTGTGGGAAAGTACAACAATTTCGCAAATGGGAAAATAGTCATCTCTATGTGTGTGTGTGTGTGTGTGTATAGATATGTGAACTGATTTTCCAAATTCTGCTATTAATTCTAAGTAGTGATTTGAAGTTGTTAGTTCTTTTAATAAACTTTGTGAGAGCTGTTCCAGGTAGTACTATTTAATATTTAATATGTTGCTTTTCTCTAATGCAAAGTGAGTGGAAGAAGAATCACTATGTACTTGCTTCAGTAAATTGATTCTGTGTGTCTTACAGAATCTAAACTGATGACAGCTGTAGTACTTGGTAAGAATGCTGTTTTAAAAGTTGAGTTTCCTGGGTAATTTTTTATTGGATTAGGGCTTTGTCCTCTTAATTTAAATTAACCTTAAATCTGAGCTGTTATATGTATGCATATTATACGTGTGTGAACTAAAGAACAATAAGAAAACATGGAATTTTAGACCTCAAATTCATTCTAGATCATTTAATTCTTCTCTTTACTTATGAGAAATTGATGTCCAGGTAGGTAAGTAACTCTTCCTTAGAGGTACCAGGAAAAGAATTGTGGTTACCTGATTCTTATTTCCAGATGAGCGAAAGGACTCAATCAAGGATAATTGTGTGGGGACCTTGTAAGTTACACAGATGTCCCGGTACTGCTGTGATGATCATTATTGTCAGGCTATCATAAGTATTTGAATGATTTTTTTACAATGAGTAGGTCCTAAAACTACTTAAATTACAACTTCTGCCACATGTATAGTTGGATACTCTTTCCTGTTCACGTAGATAAGAGAGTTTTACAATTGATTTGCAAGAAGCTATAGTGTTCTCCTGCTGTGTAATAGTTATGCTCTTGGGCTTTGTAAGAATTACGACCAAGTCTGGGCCAGGGAGGTGGCTCAGAGGGTAAAGACACTTGCCACTGAAAACTGATGACCTGAGTTAGAGCTCCAAAACCCACATGGTAGAAGGAAAGAACTGGCTCCCTCAAGTTGTCCTCTGACCTCCACATGCACTCTGTGGCATGCATGCCTCCCCATACACACACAGTAAAAATAAAAGTTTTTAAGACCAATTCCTATTTGTGACATCTTGGAAGAGTAATGTAACCTTGTGTGCTTTAATTATATTGTCTGTTAAATGGGGACAATGCATCCTATTGCATAGTCTCCTTGGACTGAATGAAATAATCTCCGTGCTACTTGGAACACTGCATGGTGTACAGTGCACATTTGGTGTGTGTTCATTATTAAGCTGTGTTGCATTCTCATAACTACCTTGTCATCTAAGAGCATAAGTGTCTTCATTTCATGACTATTGGAACTGAAGTTTATGATTTGCCATGTTAATGGGAAAAGAACTCAAAGCTCCACACCCCTTACTTTCTTTCTTCTTTTCTCTTTTCCTTCTCCATATACCTATCTGTAAAAACATACTTGCTCACATCTTACTCTGATTGAAATAAAATCATTGTGTCATGGGGCATGGTGACACAATCCTTTAATCCCAGCAGTCAGCAGAGGCGGGTGCTCTCTGTTAGATCAAGGGCAGCCTGGTCTACATAGTGAGTTCCAGATCAGCTGGAGCTACAGGGAGACATTGTCTCAAAACACAAACCAAGAAAGAAAGAAAAACCATATTGTCCTTATGTCTTGGGTAACTAGGCTACTATTAGCTGTCCTGTCCAGAGTTCTAAATTGTTTGAGTCTTGATCTTTGAAAAATCAATAGATGTTTATGTGTTTACTGGCATTTTTCTCTATCATCTTTCAGGTCTTTTAGAAATTTGCCTGATGCACCCCCTGGATGTGGTGAAAACCAGGTAAGGTTCTGCATGAACAAGTTTTATTGACCTTGGCTGATACCCAAATTAAGATCTGTCAGAACACTAAATGCTAGAACTTGTCCCAGGCTACTAGCTTCTCCTATAATGGAATTTATATTTGCTTTTCAAAGAAAGCACTATTTGACAGATAAAATGTGAACAGTGAAAAGCATTTGTGGATAAAGGTCATCTGAAGGTATTTAGGATTTTATTGCTTTCACATGACAACCATAATGTCTGATTTGTGGCTATACTGGTACATGAGGTAAATTTATCAAATTGATGTAAAAGCCAAACTTTATGTAGTGAGTTGTGACAGCAAATTTCAGTTGGCATTGCATATAACAGACTGTTATTGAACAGTCAGCATTTTGGCGTGACTCTAAATTTTCAGGTGATCTTGTTAAATGATGATTAGAGAATTTATTTTTATAACTCTATACCAGTTCATTTGTTTTTTAAATGGAGATTAAGACCATAACAATGTATTGAATCTATTTTCCAAAAACAAAATAAAAAGCAAAAATAAAATAACAAAACTTTGTAAGGGTTAATATGATTATTTTTTAATATGAACAATTTTTAAAGTTTAAACTGTGAGTAAATTACTGGAATCCATTTTTTCAGATCAAAAGTTTTCAGTGTACAGTGAAAGTTTCCATTCATTTGTATTATACAAAACTCCTAAATATCATGCCTAGATTGAAGCTTACCAGGAAACATTACAATGCAATAATTTTATAGTTGGACAAATCATTACTTCTCGGGAACTACTTGATGAGTCAGATTTGGCATTGGATGGATATGTTATTGACTAAAGAAGTTGCAGGATTTTTATTTTTTTACATTAGTTTATTGTGTGTGTGTTGTGTGTGTGTGTGTGTGTGTGGCACATTTTATGAAGGTCAGAGAACAATTTATGGAATTTGTTTCTTTCTTTCACCCATGTGGGTTCTGGGAGTCAAACTCAGGTCATCAGGCTTGGTGGCAAGTGCCCTTACCTACTGAGCTATCTCGTTGGTCCCTGAAGAATTTTAGACTAGTTGGTGAAAGCAAGAGAAAACGATTGTTGCAGGCAAACAATACTACATTTCTGATAGAGATAGGTAGGACTTGGCGTGTGACTTGACATCAAAACTGTAATAACAGAATAGCACAAGCTGGGTAGCTCAAACAAAAGACATTTATTCCCTGGAGTTTTAGAAACTGGGAAGTCCAAGATCAAGGTTGGGACCAACCCAGTTTTTGATGGGAGCCTTCTTCTCGACTTGCGAAGCTCTGTGGTCTTTCACTTTTCTTAAGGAAATCACTAATTCCATCATGGTGGCTCCATTCTTGTGACTTCATCTAAACCTGATTACTAGAGTCTGTTTCCAAACACCGTCACGTTGAGGGTTGGAACTTCAGCATTTGAATTTTGGCAGAGCACAAATATTCAGCATACAATAGCCTCAGTCATTAAACCTAATCAGAGAAAGAAGAAGATCACAAATTATGCTCAAATGGAGAGATGTGCAGCTCTGGAGACTATCTTTTTATAGATTTCAGAAACAGAAAGCACAGCTTATTGGCCTTTCTCCTTAGATTCTTTCAGTCTTCTATGAAAAGTCAAAATATTGCAGCTTGTTTCATCAAGGAGCAGGTTTTCTTTTTTAATAAAGCATGAATTCGTAAATTGGTAATGTGCTCAAATAAGCTCAGAGGAGAATAAGAATGATTGGAGTCAAACATGATGCTAGGATTGGATCACTCAGTCGTTCCTAGTTCTTGTTCATCTAGTCAACAAGCATGTACTTAGTATCCAGCATGCAGGTTCCAGGCTAGCTATGCCCTCAGGCAGCTCATACTCAGAGCAGCTATTAGGAATCTCATCAACATGAACTTCAAAAAACTATATCATTTCCTTGAACTGGATTTAAATCATGTATTGCTTGAAATACATGTGCCAAATAACTGGGGCTTTGTATTGGTATATATAAATACTCTCATGAAAACAGCATTTATTAATTGAAATTAGTCCCAAACTTTTGCCTAACCTGGAAAAGGATAATTCAATCCTTATGGGTGCCCTGAAAGAGAGGGGTACTGGGTGGCATTTGGCTTGAATGACAATGAACAGTGTAGTGAATAAAGATTCCAACCATAGTTATGGAAGCTGGCACCTGTAAATTTGATGTCTGGTGTCTGGTGAAGGCCTGTTAGATAGCACCTTCTCGCTATGTTCTCACATGTTACAAGAGACAAGGCAGCGCCCTGGGGTCATGTTATAAGGACATTAAGCCTATTCATGAAAGCTTTGCCCTTATGGCCTAATTATCTCCTAAAGACTCCTTTTAACACCATCACCTTGGGGATCAGGATTTCAACAAATGAATTTTAGGGGGTCACATTCTGGATATAGGAATCATTGACTCTGTTCACTGCAGTCATTCAGGTTGATGGAAGCACTACTTCAATACACACTCTCCCCTATCCCTGTGGCAGAAAGTAGGGAACTGAATGGTCTCATGATGGTGAATATATAATGGAATATATTGGAATATACAATATATGTATATATATTCCAATCTCTACCTTCACCCAGTGTGGCTGAATATATATATTTCTGCTGCAACTGATGTTTAAGAACTATTCACTTGACTATACCTGGCCAACCAGAAGTGTGACCCTCCCCTCTGATTCATAGAACATGGGTGTCTGTGTGCTACAGGCATGCATGTCTATTCCCTGCCATATGCACAGAAGCATCATCCACTTCCACCTATCAGTTCCCATTCCGGATGTAAGCACCTTTGACTTGTCACTGCTTCTTTTAAAATTCAATTCTGCATTTCTAAATTCCTTTTTACATTGGGTGGAACAGTGCATCTGTGCCAATTCATGCCCTTCCTGGAATCTCAAAAGATGACCTTTTTTTTGGAAATAGGCTCCTTGCAGATATACTTAGCCATGATACACTTGTACTAAATATTGGGGAGATCCTAAGTCCCATATGAATTGCGTTCTTATAAGAAGAGACTCAGAGAGACAGACATGGAGAGGAGACAGCCACACTGGGTGAAGGTAGAGATTGGAATTATGTAACTGCAAGCCAATGCACAAGGACTGCTGGTAACTGCCAGACTGAAGAGAGGAACAGATTCAGAAGTTAACACAGCACGCATGCTGTCTTAATGTGTCAGCTTTAATGTTATCCATGATACTTACGCCCACTTCAGCTACCTCCACCTACCCCAAAATCATCAGTTCTCAACTGTCTCATTGCTTACGCAATGCAGTCATTGTTTACTGAACCAAGTGCTTCCCAGTGGGGTGTTTTCCTGGAGTTAATCACTGCCGTATATTTTCATTCATTCTTTAGTACTCTACATGACTATTGCTGATTATTATTTCTTCCTAGATACTGTTACAGGTTTCTTTTTCCCCCATTTTTT